TTGCGGTGTTGGTTGCAGTGGTCTTCCTGGTTGCTATGTAAAGTAGTCAGCATACTTGTGGATGGAATTCACAGTCTCTCCTTAATACCCGGGTCGTTTTGTCGGTCTTTTTTTTGGTTATTTCCTGCCTGGCTTCCTGGAACATGAACATGAACATGAGTACGGGGGCGTAATTTGCGGCAGAGGCTTCTTGATTTGTTTATATTCGTCATATTCATATTGATCATATTCTTCATGATTTGATCAGTGTCAAAATCTAGCGTGATCTGGCATTATTTATCCAGACGAGTTATCTGTCTTAATCATTAATTGACTTTTAAATTGGATTTTTTTTTACTTTTTCATTTACTGTGTATTAATTAAATACCCGCTCCATGCCCTCGTCTGACAATCTCTCCTTCATTCAGTCAATCCTGATTCTTATTGATCCAAACCAGTTAACGACCTTAACAAGTATACTTCGTTCTACGACCAACTTCTCGGCCCAAACGTTTGATTCGTCGCCAACTCTCTTCACGGCGTCCCCTTGCCATCGACCGTGCTACCATTGACGGTATTCCCCCACCAGGAGAGCGACACGCCCGGCAACACGAGGACGAAGAAGATGACGACAGCGGAGACGGCGACGCCGGCGTCCAGCGCGGCGGAGAGGACATAGTTGTATTTGGCCCACCAGCGGGGTTTGCGGGTCCGGATCAGCTGGCGATCATCTCAGCAGACAGATCTTGAGCGTATGTACTGTACATGTAAGGACAGGACGAACCTTGTTGAAGATGAAGCTCACGACGAAGGCGGTGGAGTAGTATTCCTGTCTTCATGCATCAACAAAGTCTCGTTAGTTCGATCTGAGCGTTAGTCTATCTGATTTTACTGGCGACATACTGCAGGAGGCAGATTCCCTGTGCCAGCAAAGAATATCGGCCAGTGGACGGCCGCCAGCAGTCTCGAAGCTGGAAACCGCTTGCGCAGGAAGAACGTGAGCAGCGGCAGGGCGGCGCCGAGCCAGAACATGTGCAGGAGGCCGGAGTAGATGCGGCCGGGGCTGTAGAGGCGAGAAGGGCCGATTGCTAACAAACAGCTGAGTTAGCAATTCGATGGCCCTGGCAGGTAGTAGGTAGATGGGCTTACCACCCCACAGAATGGCGCTGTTATAGTTGACTCGGCCCTGCGGACAGGTGAAGTTGTCAGATTGAGTGCTCGCGCATACGTCCTTGACGTGGCCGAGGACCCAGAGCAGGACGCCATCTACAGCAGTCAGCAAGCAGTTCGCAGAATCCAGAGGAATTATGGGCATATTATGAACTGGGTCAGACTGCCGAGGATGCACTCCAGCAGCTGCGCAATGAACAGCGTTCGACGCGGGATCTTCATATACAACCCCAGCTGGCCAATGTGTCAGCTTTATACGTCCTCGACACCTATGGTGATGGATGGATGGATCACCTTCATGTCTGCGCTATATATCATCGCCTGACTCAAGCCCGTATACGCATAGAACTGCGAAACAAAATCAGTCACCGCTACGATCACCGTTTTCGCTGCTTACCTTGAAAATGAGAAGCACCAGCGGCCGCCCCTTCAGAAGGTACCCCGACATAATCTCCCCCAGAACGGTCAGCACATTGCTGTTCAGATTGGCTATCGCATACAGCGTCCCCACGGGGATCACGTAGATGGCCGCCACCGCAAACGTGAGCAGGATCCCCCAGAACGGGACCTCGGTGTGCCAGACGTATTGCGTCAGGATTGCGATCGCGATGACAATTAGCTGGCGGCATCAGTCTGTCAGTCAGTGTATATCTTCTGTTTGATGTTCATTCGACAGGCTTGCTCACCGTCATGATGCCGTACCACCATCACGGCGCATCCGGATAACGGGACAACAGTCGCGCATGGATGTCCTTCTTGTTCGTCCCCCGCAATGTCGCCAGGATGTCGTTGCGATGGTACAGTAAGACGTGCGTCAGCAGGCAGCTCAAGACGGCAAAGCCCACGCCGTAGGACAGCGCAAACGTTACGGGCAGATACAGCGGACTGTAGGCCCGGTACTTGGCCTCGTCGATGGCGCCGGAGCGGTCGAGGATGCGGCTCGAGTTGTAGACGCGGGCGTGTTGTCGTACGCGTCGGAGCCCGTCAGCGGCAGATACGCCGTGAACCAGGTGTTGGTGTAGTAGAGGATGGGCGCGGCCATGGCGTAGACGCAGAACCAGCCGGCAAAGACGTTGGCCTGTGCCCAGAACGGCACCACCAGCGGCGAGCCGTTGTATGCGATCTGGCCCCAGTCGAACGTGGTGGGCAAATACCCCAGGCTCGTCGTCATGCCGAAGAGATTGTTCACGACCTTGTTGTCTGGCGCAGCCCAGCAGAGGAAGGCAAACGTGCTGAGCCCTGTGAACAGGAACCCCGGCAGCCAGTACCAGCAGAAGCCGCCGATGAAGACGTACAGGAAGAATCGGTACCGGGAGACCTTCCAGCCGTCGGCGAGGGGATTGGCGCCGCTATGCAGAGTCTCGAAGAGGGCGGCGTTGGCGAGCGTCGATGGCCAGATCTGCGGATACCTAAGCGTGAGAAACACGTCCACCACATCTATGTTCACAGAGGAAGACTACCATCTGGGGCGGTTCCACAATGTACCGATATGCCAGACCCGCCAGGCCCAGACCAAACATCTGCATGGACAAGGCGAGCAGGATCTGGTAGCCCACGGGGGTGGACATGTGCAGGTACACTTTCTGGGCTTGGATGATGGCGCTCGCCTGATCTGTCAGCATTCACCTTGACAAAGGTCTGGTGTCATACCCAGGACTGGCCAAAGCTGAGGTTCGACATGATCGTAATGACGGCATGCTCCTTGACATTGAACGAGCGATCCGGATTGAGCACAAGGTCCCGTCCAAACAGCCGGTACGTCTTGACGGGCAGGATCCTCGCGAGCAGGCAGCCGGCAGGATAGCTGACCAGCTGGGCGACCAGCGAGGTGATGGTCACGCTGGGATAGCGCATGGAGAAAAACTGGTTGATGCCCGTGCCGACCTGCCATGACGGTAGGGTCAGCATCTACGCCAAATGATACGTGTAGGCACTCACCAAGGTGAAGACGACGCCCAGGAACCACATCCGGACGATGTTGACGGGGAGGCTGGAGTCGTCGGTGTTGGGCACATTGGCGCGCACATCCAGGTAGGGCGAGTTGTCCGAGTCGATCGTGTAGTCGATGTTGGTCTCTGCGATGGCCATTTCGACGGCTTCGTCGGCCGTGGCCGAGTTGGGCACTCCATCCGGGGTCTTGAGGGCTTCAACATCTGAGGCCATCGTTGCAGAAAATAGGAAGGATGTATCTCTACGGTCGTTCTGTTGCTGGGGTCATTTGGCTTATATCCACGCACCGCGAGTTTTTATCAAGGAACGTTAACCCCAGCCTTGGCGAGAAAATCCAAAGATAGTAATCATTATCATCTGCTGAACCGCTGGAGTATTCCATACAGCGAGAGCTTCCATATCCAGTCGAGTGTGCAGCCAGTCAATTAGACGTTAATCAGCTCTCAGCCTGAATCAGAGTAAGAGGCACGCGACTGCAGACAAATTGGGAAATTCCTGCGATATCGTCGATTGCTATTTTCGGATTTCTCCGCAACTCGACTCCATTTAGTTGGACTGCTCCACCGTTATCAGCGCCACAAACCTATCGCCAGGAATGTGGGGATTGTCGCGTGGACCTTCTCAGTGGGACTACCTGTACGGACTACGGAGTATTCATGACGGGATATCATACCTACATATATAGATCAGACGATGGCTGATGGTTCGACTCGTCCGTTTCTCTTCTGGTGGCATCGCCTTGCCGGCCAATCTCAGATTCCGTCCAGCATGTCGCTCGACAAGACAGCCGCCATCCTGGTCGTCGGCGCCGGCACCTGGGGCTCGTCGACCGCGCTCCATCTGGCGCGCCGGGGATACAGCAACGTGACCGTGCTGGACGCGTATCCCGTGCCGTCGGCCATCTCAGCGGGCAACGACATCTATCATCTCGGCGGGACAGTACACGACAGACCGCGATGAGAGGGCCGTCAACGATCTTCTCGTCGGCAAGGCACTGCGCGCCTGGAAGAATGACCCCCTGTTCCAGCCGTTCTACCACGAGACGGGCCTTCTCATGGCCGCCAGCAGTCCGGCGGCATTAGACCGTCTTGGGGTGCGCGTGCAGCAGGGCGCGGAGAAGAATATCGTCCCGGTCGAAAGGCCCGAGGACTTTCGGCAGCTGGCGCCATCAGTACTACGGGGGACTTTCCAGGCTGGAAGGGATACTTCATGCGTTCTGGCGCTGGCTGGGCGCACGCGCGCAATGCCCTGGTTGCAGCGGCCAGAGAGGCTCAGCGGCTGGGCGTGCGGTTCGTCACCGGCGATCCAGCAGGCAAGGTGGTCACGCTGATCTTCGAGGACAACGACGTGAAGGGGGCCGTCACGGCCGACGGCAAGATCTGGCGGGCAGAGAGGACGATCCTGTGTGCCGGCGCCAATTCGGACCAGTTCATCGACTTCAAGCAGCAGCTGCGGCCGACTGCGTGGACGATTGCCCACATCGCCCTCGAGGAGGCTGAACGGGCGCTGTACAAGAACCTGCCGGTGATCTTCCACATCGAGAAGGGGTTCTTCTTCGAGCCGGACGACGAACGGGGCGAGATCAAGATCTGCGACGAGCATCCGGGCTACACGAACATGGTGCGACTGCCCGACGGCACGCTCGCCAGCCGGCCGTTCGCGAAGACGCAGGTGCCGGTGGACTCGGAGTGACGCATGCGGGCGCTGCTGGCGGAGACGATGCCCCAGCTGGCCCAGCTGGCCTTTAGCTTTGCGCGCATCTGCTGGTGTGCCGACACGGCGAACCGCGAGTACATCATCGACCGGCATGGAGCATACTGATATTCTGAAGGGTATACTAATAGACTAATGAGCAGGCTTCAAACTCCTCTCGACAATCGGCGACGTGATCGTGGACGCGATGGAAGACAAGATCCCGTCGCATGTCCACAAATACATCCGGTGGAACCCGGAGATGGCCGTGGATCGCGACTGGAAGGATACGCCGGGTCGGTTTGGGGAGGACAACCGGGTGATGGACTTGAAGGAGGTGAAGGAGTGGACTGAAGTGGCGGACCGGGAGTCGAAGTAGAGTCGAAAGTAGGTCGAAAGTAGAGTCAAAGCTGTAGCCAGAGCCTCATCAAGGCCATCCCAGGATTACTTGTACAGACGGAGGAATAGAATATTATCTGAGCCTGTTGATTTAATTTAGACAGCCCTATACAATTGAAGGATAGATATAACCTAACCCCCTCTTCTACCTAATGCTATCAATATCAATCACTGAGAGCATATAAACGGAACCCATCTAATCAAATTACTTACCATGTAGTTACCCAGTTCAAATAATCCCTACATATAATAACTAATAATATTATACACAGCACATAAAGTATATTACTTGATGAAAACCAATCCACCCAGTTAGTTAGGGTTATAACCCACAACAGGAGAAAACCTTATCTATTCATTATTATATGTAGTATACCCAAGATAACCCTCTACCTACTCACGGGACAAACATCCGAAACCCAGCATGAAGAAGTGAAGACCATGTCAACAACTGACATCATGTGGCAACAGTCACTATATTAGCTACGAACATGCAGAAGAATCGACTCGACTCAAATGAAGTATAAAATATGAAACAAATAAAAGCATAAATATTGTATACTCTACATAATCCATCTACATTTTCTACTACGTACAGTACAGTACAGTATATACATACATACGAACGACATGTCCACCGCCAGCTTCAACTACTACACCAGCTTCAGCTTCAAGCTCGCTCAAGCAGTAGGGATTCTAGGTTCTGCTGGGGCGTCGAGTATGCATACTTTCTCCTTGATACCTACTTACCTATAAACCTCATCACTTTCTTCTCTCTTCAAACAAACTAACAGTACTAATTATTACTATGTGTGTATGTACAGGCGGTATTTTAACAATCACCTTCTTCAGCATTCCGCCTTTGCTGCTTCCTGCAAACAATAACAACAATAATAATACTCGTCGACGCCAGCAAGAACAGCAGGAGCAAGAAAATCAACAGCAAGAAAATCAACAGCAAGAACAACAACAAGACAAATCCGAATCTTCTACAACTACAACAACGAGTAATATACCACACCTCCTCCACCAATGGCTCTACATCTACAACAAAGGAGGCAAAACCTTCCCGTACCTCGTCGCAGGATCGGCTCTCGCATACGCGTATGTCGTATACTACCTTCTCCTGCGGCACGCAGGCAGCAGAACGGGATGGTCTACAGTACTGTACAGAATATACCTATTCGCGTCGGCAGTGACAATCAGCGCAATCCCCTTCTCGCTAGCATTCGTGGAGCCGTTGGCGAAGAAGTTGCTTTCCATCATCGCTAAGGAGGACGATAATAGTGTTACTCCCAGGGAAGAAGGGGAAGTGCCGAGGTTGATAGATGCCTGGGCGAAGTGGAATGTTGGAAGGGGGATTTTTCCGTTTGTGGGGGCTGTTGTGGGGGTTGTGGGGGCTTTGTGGTTTTGATTGAGGAATTTAGTTAATTGAGTGATTGTTGATTGATTATTGTTGATTGATTATTGTTGATTGATTGTTGTTGATTGATTGTTGATTTGATTAGGCTATGAGGAAAGGATACGAGGGTGTCTTGTCTGCTTGGTTTGCTGATGAGATGATGATGATGATGGTGATGGTGAAGGGCTTGTTTATGGCTGTCAATAGATAAGAGTTTTCCTTCCAATGGACTGTATCAGACAGAATAGTACCAGAAAACCTACTATACTATAGTATAGTACATTATAGTGTATGTCGAAAGACGTAAAAAGATTTAAACTGATTAGATAGATGTAGATACTTCCAGTATACTCCAACTTACCATGATTATGATCAATTAAGTGAATTCGTATGATTTATTAAAAATAGTCTGGTCACAAGAACAGCCTGATTACAGGCGGCAACTCCTCTCATCGCATGCGAAGTAAGACCCGGTCTGAAACTGGTATATACCGTAGGATGTGATTAATGTGAATGATCAGTGCTGCCGCACCCACAGCTCATGGAATCGATAAAATACGACCCAGCGAGCCCCCGCTTAAACTCCCCGTGATACGTATCCAGCTGGTCCACCCGTACGTCCGCCCCCAGAGGATCGCCCAGCCAGTCATTCGACCGCTGCTGCAGCTGCTTGGTGACGTTCCGCACGTCCACGTCCAGATACTCCGCCAGGAATGCCCCCACGTCCGTGTTCTCGTGGTTGCCGACCAGCGGCCAGGCGTCTTTCGTCGAGCTTGCGTAGATGTTGACATCGACGGCTGTAGCCATTAGCATCAACCTGTATTTACAAGAGGATGTCTCCTACCTGAATGCCCATGCGTCGTCCATCCCACCTGCGCCCGACGACTGATTATGTCGGCAAATATGTAGTTGGCCGGCCACACCGGATCCGTCTCGATCAACGAGTCCACCTCCGCGTCCGTGGCGTCGTCAATCCCCAGCCCCTTCTCCAGCAGCTGCTTTCGAATGTATGCCCGCTGCGTCGCCCGGTCGTCCTTCTTGCCCTTGCCGTCCAAATACTCCTTCAGCTTCGCATGCAGATACTCCGACGAGTGGCTCGCCTTGGCGAGAACCTCCGGAAGCCACTTGTAGTCCGGGTACGACTTGTGCAGCTGTCGTGCCGCCGCCAATCCGCCCGTCTCGTGGTCCGACGTGCTGACCAGCACCCCCGGCGTCGAGTCCTCCTCCAGGAACTTCAGCACCGCCGCAAATGCCTTGTCGTAGGCCAGCACCTCGTGGACCTGCGCCGCCGGGTCATTCCCGTGGCCCGCGTGGTCGATGCGGGACCCCTCGATCATGATAAAGAACCCCTTGTCGCTGTGCTCGGTCGCCTTGCTGAGCGCCGTCAACGCAGTCCGCGTCATCTCCTCCAGCGACGGGTACTCGTCCTCGACATGTCGGCGGTCGATCTCGTACGGAATGTCCCTCTCCGCGAAGAGTCCCAGCAAGGGCAGCTTCGCGTCCTTCCCCATACTCAGCCCGTCGAATTGTTTCCTGCTGTGGATGTAGTGGAACCCGTTCGCCTCCGCCTCCTTGATCAGGTCGCGATCATCCCCCCGACAGCTGCCCTCGGTCGTGTTCGGCAGGAAATGGCATCGCCCACCGCCCAGCATCAGGTCGACCACCCGGCCCAGGGGATGGTCTCCAATCTCCTGCTCCGCGATCCGGTCTTCGTACTGTCGTAGGTTGACATGGGAGGCAAAGCACGCGGGCGTGGCGTCGGTGATCCGGGTCGTCACCACCAGACCGGTCTTGTATCCGGCCTGATGGGCCGCTTCGAGGACGGTCCCGCAGGGCGAGTGGTCGGACAGGACGGAAATGGCGCCGTTGTAGCTCTTGATCCCGCAAGAGAAAGCGGTCGCCCCCGCGGCCGAGTCGGTCACCAGGCTCGACGTCGACCTCGTCCGCGACGTGCCGATGTGGTGCTGGTCCAGCACCAGCGTGTCGTCCGGCGGCAGGCCCAGCTCCAGCTGTCGGAAGCTTCTCGTCAACGACAGACTGGTCGGGCCCATGCCGTCCGATACCATGAAGATGACATTACGCTTGCCCGTCGGCTTACCGCCGGGGCCCCAGGTCGGCTGGGAGTCGTGCTGCGTGAGGCGCTTGTGCTGGTAGGCCACGGCCAGGACGATGACGGCCACGGTGGCCACAAGAGCCCAGGTGAAGAGACCGATCTGTCGCCAGAAGCCCCATCCGCGGCGCTGGTCGTCAGAGCGGGCCACCCGCTCGCCGGTCAACAGGGCATCTTCCTCGTCTTCATGCCGGATGGAGGAGTGCTCGGAGGACTGGCGCGGAGCCAGGAGAGGCTCCTCGCGGGGCATATTTTGCACAGCGGAAACGGCGGAATGAAGACAATGCGTAAATGGAAATGAGAGAGAGGAAGATGGAGGATGACAGGGGTGAGTTGATGGACGTTAAAGGCGGGTTCGGCGGCAGTCGAGCGGCCTCGGCAGGTGACGTGCTGCGCTCGTCTAGCGTCACCGCAAACAGCAACAGCTGCAACACAGCTGATCTGCTCAGCCCAATATTCTTACTTTCCTTTCTATCTTCTTATATTCTGCTCTGCTATCTCTAGTCTGTATGTCTTTGCGTATTTGGTGTAGAAGCGTCGATATTATTGTAATGCACAGTACAGCCTATATACAGGACAGCAGGACCAGCTACTCCGTAGGTCCAGAAGCTTAATTAATTGATTCATTAATTAATCAACCAATCAATCAATAATCCATGTTCACCAAACTGGTGAGAGAAGAGCATATAGTCCTGTTTTGTCATCCTCCCGTAAACACACGAATTGTACAATCGACCAGCTGCAACCTCACGACCGTCCTCTCCACCCAATGGGGATCATGGCTGCTGCAACGTCGGTGACACCTCGTTCGGTTGCGAGCAGATTGAACTGGGCTGCTGCGTTCCTGGTGTCCTGCACCTCAACCCGAATGCCCAGCGAGTTGATGTGCCGCTTCGTCTCGGGCGACACAGGGAACACGGACGCCCCGAGGCCGAGGATCAGAAGGTCTGCACAAATGCACAATTAGTAGTCCGGTCGAGATAAATTCGAATAGCAGCCGGCTGGACAGGAACTCACCAGGTCGCGGCCACACCAACCCGAGCAGACCCCAGACTTCCTCCGCGACCTCAAACTGCCCCTTCTCGTTGACCATCATGCTCTTCGCATCTGCGCCGCCGCTGAACGCCTGCCAGGGCCGCCAGGTGAACGCTTCGCCGCCGACCAGCAGCACCCCATCGCCTCCGGTCACCTTGATGCCGTTGTCCAAGTGGAAGCCGTCGTCCAGGCAAGCGTCGACGGCAGTCGCCGGCGTGGGAAGGTTCCCCAGCACATTCAGTTCAGCGAAATCGGTCTGGGTCGTCTCCGACGAGCGTGGTCCGCGGTCGCGGGTCTGTGGCTTGGGAGGCTGCGCGCGAGGCACGATCCGCGACGGTCGAGCAGGATAGCTGCTGCTGTTACTGCGGCGGGGGGCAAAGGACAGCGGACTCGCCAGACGAGCCGGACATGATGCGCGACAGGCGCTCAGACTGGAGTTGGCCTGGATCGAGCTGCGCAGAGCGCGCAGAAGCTGCGGCGACGGAGGATGCATGGGCGGTCGATGTCACGGGTTCGTTTCAACCCTGAACTGAGAAAAGGTCAACAGCAAGTGCAAGTTCAAGGAATCAGGGGAGCCATGGGAGACGGAGCTGACGGCTGGCACGGCACCAAACGAGGTGAGGAGACTGCAGTGCAGGAAGGAAATAATTAATGATGGTTCCTTGGCAGCAGACGGAGATGGCCGGGCGGACACCCGACCACCAAGCCGCATCTCTACAGTATCTCATTATTACTAATCCATCGTGTGCATTCAACATCACGCACAGCATCATTAATTAGGTGCGTGTATTTCATTGCTGAGCTACTCGGTGGGAATCCCTCCGGAGTCTATCTTCTACGAAAACACTTTTTTTCCTCCCGTCCCCTTCGCCGTCACAAACACCATCGTCTCGTGATTAGGTTGGTATCAACGGCCGCCCTCATCGAGAGCAGGCATGCAATTGGGAAACAAACAACAAAAGCATCAAAACCACTGGAGCAATGCGGAGGGCAATTACCCACAGGAATAACCGTCTTTCGTACAGTCGTGGCAAGAACGTCATCAAGTCCAGACAGCCGTAAACGTCCGAATAACACACCGAAGAAAGTCACCGCAAAATGAAACCCCGAAAGGAAAAAAAATTAGAGTTAACTGTCTTCGCCATATGCATTCCCTGCCAATTCAATCCGAGAATCACGCCGTTTGATTTTTTTTTTAATAACTGATAGAAATATTATGGGTATCATTGCCGGCTGAAAACGACGCGAGTCATTCCTGGAGCAGTCAACCGGCATCAAGACGAGCGCCCATACGCATTATGATTGTCCCCCGCTCGACTGGAACGGCGACCAGGCGTTTCGCGAGCAGTGGTCGGATGTGCCGTCCCGTTCTGTTCCTCTTCCGACTGACTGGAAGTGTCGTCTCCCGCAGCTGCAGTCGAGGCACTGCGGAGACGTTGCGCGCGGTCTTGGAGCACTTGTGCCTCGGCCGCCGCCTTCTGGGCCCGAATCTGCTTCCGCCACATGCTCGCATAGCGGCCTTTCATCGCCAGCAGCTCCTCGTGGGTGCCCCGTTCGGCGACTCGGCCATCGTGCAGGACGAGGATCTGGTCGGCCGTGGTGATGGTGCTCAACCGATGAGCGATCACCAGCATTGTGCGTCCGCGCGACAGAGTCGACAATGCGCCTTGGATATGCTCTTCCGTGGCCGTGTCCAGCGCCGCGGTCGCCTCATCGAGGAGGATGATCCGCGGGTTTTTGAGAATCGTCCGCGCAATCGCCACTCGCTGCTTCTCCCCACCACTGAGACGAAGACCGCGCTCACCGACCTTGGTCTGGTAGCCATCCGGAAATCCGAGAATCCGATCATGAATGCTCGCCGCCCGGCATGCCTCGTACACCTCCTCATCGGTCGCGTTCGGATTGGCGTACTTGAGGTTGTACATGATCGTCTCGTTGAAGAGGACCGTGTCTTGCGGGACTACCCCGATGTGGCGGCGGAGGGAGTCAATGGTCACACTCTGAACATCCTGATCGTCCACCCGGATACTGCCCTTGGCGGCGTTGTAGAAGCGGAACAGGAGACGGAACACGGTGGATTTCCCTCCGCCTGATTCGCCGACCAGGGCAGTGGTGGTGCCAGGCGGACAGTGGAAGCTCAGTCCGTTCAACGCCGGCTTCCGGCCATCATACGAGAATTCGACGTTGTCGAAGACAATGTCGCCGCGACAGGACTCCATAGGCACCGCAGACGGACTGTCCACCACGGTGGGCTGCTCTCGGAAGAGTTCCAGCATGCGCTCCGAATTGATCAGCGCCGATTGGATGGACCGATAAAACGTCCCGAAGAAATTCAACGGGCCTTGAAGCTGGGCCATGTAGGTCAAGAGCGTGACGAATTGGCCCACCTTGCGTTGGCCGGCGGAAACCTGGTACGCAGCGATGAAACAGGTGATCAGAAGGCCCAACATGAAGACGGTATTCTGACACGTGTTCATCAAGGTCAGAGAGAACAAGACATGGTATTCGGCCTTCTGGAAGTCGTTGACGGCGCCGCGATATCGGTTGAACTCGTATTGCTCGGCGTTGAAGTACTTGACGGTCTCGTAAGACACCATCGAATCGTTCCTGACAAAGAAAAAAAATTTTTTTTTAGCAAAAGACATGGTTTTCTGCAACCTCATTCCACTCACTTGACCGCATCTTCCTGTCGGGACGCATTCACCATCTGCCTCCGGATCTCCGCTCGCCACTGAGCCATGCGGATCGTGACGTAGAGGTAGCAGAAAGTGACAATGGCCACAACGAGTGCGTAGTAGGCGTCGAACGCGACCAGGAAATAGCCGATGGCGACGCAGAGATCGATCAGCATCGGCACGACCTGAAACGTCACCTGCTCCAGGAAGGTGTTGATCGAGTTTCCCTTGCTCAGGGCGGACAGCACTTCACCCGTCTTCTTGCTCAGATGGAAATCCAGACTGAGCCCGTGTACATGCTCAAAAGCCGCCGTAGACAGCTCCATGTACGAGTACTGGCCCACCGGAATCCACAGGCTCGACCGCAACGAACCGATCAGACCCTGGTTCCCTTGCAGCCAGCGAAAGAAGATGTACAGGCAAATCTCAAACCAGGGAATCCGAAAACCTTCCCCTTCCTCCCGGGACAGGATATCGGTGATCACGCCCACTTGGTACGGGACGAGAACGTTGATGACCCGTTGCAGAAGGATCAAGACGAAGCAGACGATGACCACCAGCTGCAGTCGGCGGGACTTGGACGGCCACAGATATGGGAAAAACAAGGAGTAACCGCTCAGATACTCCCACCAGCTCGTGGACGGAATGGTGGTCGGACGGACCCAGGGATCAACCGGTTTCTGAGCAGGAGCGGCATGATTCCCATTCGGCTGGGTAGCACCGTATCCATCTCCGTTGGCACCGGCCGTCGCCTCGGCGGACAGGAGCCCAGTTGTCTCTGCAGAGTCGCCTGCCAAACGAGGATGCGCCTTCCGGCTAGAAGATTTTTGTCCAACGGCGCAGAGGATGTACAGAACCACCAGAGCGGCGAGGATGGCGATGCGGACAATATTGGAAACGACCTCAGCGATCTCCCATGGGGTGATGCCTTGCCGCAGAGGACCGCCATAGGGATCTCCCACTGTCGGCTCGTGGTGCGGGGCGGAGTAGAAGGCCAGCGAGAGGCCAACGATGGTCAGATCGAGCGGAATGGCGACCAACCAGGGCACAAACTGAGCGCAGGTCGGGGAGGGCTTGGTGTCCAGGATCGAGATCAGGATGACAGCATGGACGAAGAACGAACCCACGACGTAGATCTGGAGAAGCTCAAGTCAGCAGCTGCAAGCATCCTTGCCGCGGACGTGTCGTGCTTACCACCACCGCCTGACCACGCCACCAGTGTTCTGAGCGGGCGATGATCGCATGGGCCATGTTGAGGGCCGCATCCGCAATGAAAGTCAGGAGCACCCCGACGGAGAGCCACTTGAAGACGAGCTTGAACTGGGGAGAGACGTCGGGACGTTCCCGGGCCACGACAGCCATGGTGCTTCTGGTCCTCTTGGGCAGCGGTCGACCACCAGGACCCGATGTGACAGTATTGCGATTGGGGGTGAGTTGCTTGGCCGAAATGATCGAGTTGACGACAAAGGCAATGACGAAGGCGATCAGAAGGACAATTGGCGACGCAATACGCACATAGCTGAGCACCTCGTGGAGGACAGCGTGTGTCCCCGACGATGGGGAACCGTCCGCAGCACCTGAAGCAGCCATGATGGCCATTCCTCCAACTATGAACCTCGCAAATCCAGGGGAAAAAAGCGATTATTGAGGTTCCATGTCACGGCATGGACGGTGTGTGCTTGTCAAACAGCTGACTCTGGGACCGGTAGAGACAGTGAGGGGGAGGGGTGCAGGGCGCGAGACCAGGGCGGTGAATGGGCCGTTAGAAAAGCATGGAATGTCTGAGGGATATACAGCAGCTGCGCGGTGAATGGCCGGATGCGTCACTCGACAGAGGCAGGGCGGTTCACGGTGTAATAATGGCGTTCCAAGAGAGGGGATGCAATTAGGGACCGATACAGCACAAAGAAGGCAGGGCGATAAAGAGACACAACGCAAAAGAAAGTAGACCAAGCGGAGTAGATGATGACAGCAGGACAGACGGAAGAAGAAAGGCCCCAAGAATAGAAGAATAAGAATTCGCTGGCTGCGCAGGAGCAGCGAGAGAGAGAGCAGCGGGCGAGCAGTCTCCGGGCGAGGAGAGGAGTTGTTGGGCGGAGCGACCTTGGAAACGACGAGTGGAGAGCTTCAGGCGAGTGGGTTCGGCCCAGCGCGCCGTCCAGACTCCAAGGGTTCCAATGGCAGGTCGCCCAGCAGCTTAGACTTCGCCAGCCCAAGGTGCTCTGGACAGGATGATGCCCGTCGTCAGCACAGCACAGTCTGGACTCTGGAACCACGGTCAGTCAAACCAGCACCAGCACGCGCAATTGCCTGGGGCAGCAACAACCAGCTGGCAGCGCTGGCCGCCCGTCGTGCCGCGAGGGGAGACAGGCCCAAATATGTGTTTTCCGGCGAATGCCCTCAATCCGGAACCAGGCAGCCTGCAGTGGCCGAGGGGCCCAACGGCGAGGATTCGGATCTGGCGCAGCGCGGTGACTGGCCTGCAGGTCAACCCAAGCTTCCTGCTTGTCCCGAGATCGTGGCTGCTCTCACTGCGAACCCCTGACAGCACGCGAGAGCTGCCGACTCCAGACGTGCAACCACGCACACTACTAAAAAAAAATGCAGTCTGAACAGCCGCTACGATGGAGATGATGATATGGCTCACACAGTGTCGATTCCTCCCCCTCCCTCTGGCGTCTCTCTTCTCTGGTACAGTACCTTTCGAACCAGACTGGATGCGCATGCACTACCGAGTATCCAGCAGCCACGGCAAAGAGTTTGAGACAGATCGATTTGCTGCGCCTGGGCCGGCATGGCTCGCATTCGTGGCAGCGTCCATGGGGAGCGAGGCCGGGATCGACCTGGCGGAATGACGGCATCGTCTGCCACGAATGCTGCACACGCCGGGATGCGGTGAAAGAAAAGACGGCCGGCCGAAAGTAAGGACCCGACGCGAGGGTTCGACGTCGTCTTTTTGGGCAACCAGAGGGCTTAGTTGGAGCCTTTAAGGATGACAAGTCCAGCATCAAGTCTCAGGCGGTGTGGCCGGGCTCCGCCGGAGCAAGCCCGAACAGGCTGTCGAGAGGCCAGGGACCAGCTGTCAGTGTTAGACTTTCAGGCGAGTCGACTGCCGCGGGGGACCCGGGCCCTGGACTCCGGCAGCGTGACCAGACTCGCTACATCAGCGGATTCTGCAGCCCGCACACCGCCCAGGCAAGCCTCTTGCGCATGCTTTCTGATGATTCCTCCAGCACGGCTCGATCGGCCATCCTGCTGCCATTATTCACAATCTGCACCCCGGTCAGCCGGCGTCCCTGGCTCCGGGGTTCGTCGTCCCGCCGTGCTGCAGTGCGTGCCGGCGTGCCGGGGACTTAACTCGCACTGCAGCCACGGACGGAATTTCGGTGTGATCGGCCGCATGAAGAAAATGCTAACGCGATCCAGCCCAGTCTCTTGGGCGGCGCAGACGGACTACTTCTACCGCTAGCAGATCTGTTGAAATAGGGGACTACGTCTAGCTACGGAGTCCGAGTACAGAGTACTCCGTACAGTCTATACAGACTACAGAGTAGAGAGTATCAAGACAAGTGTCATTCCTCCAACATTGTACAGAGTATTGCGACACCATTCTCGCCCAGAGGAGACTCAGGAGAGCGATTCTCTGGCGCATAACGCTTGGACGCTCTGCTGCATGCCCGTCGGTCGCTTCTCCGGCTAATATCAGATCTGGGGTGGAGATTCTGGCAGCCACCTCATATATCTTTTCTTTTTTTCCCTTTCTGCCACCTATCTTATCGCCGTACTTCCCTGGGATGTAATCCTGGATGTCATGCAGCCACGGGATGACGGAAGTGCCTTGATTAGTGGCTGCCTTGTAGGCGTGCTGCAGCCCGTATGCGAACCGGTGGCCTCGCAGTCTCGAACGCCTTAAGGAACAGGGAGTCGAGGAAACGGTCGCGACCGAGAGTAGGAAAAACGCCCCGACAGGTCAACCGCCACCTAGACAACGATCAGTGTGCTTGCGTGCATGCGACCAGTAGTCCACGACTGTTTATCTATCCAACGGGGCTAATTGGTGCCTTGTTTCTGCGCAGATCGATGCGAATTCCATGTGAGTCGCTCTGCCGTTGAGCCGTGTAGTCTGTCTGTACGTGTACTCTTTCTGTACGAACTGCAGGACTCTGTGCAGGCGAACGGCAGTGGCCGAACAGTTCTCCAGCCGAGTATACAGGGGGCTCCTTCCTACTTCGGTCCCTGCCACATTCCCCGCGACATGATTCTGCCGCTCTTCGCCGCCTCGCAGACGTCAGCTGGCCAACGCGCTCCTCGTCACGAGGCGATCGCATCGCTGCTTCCTCGAACGGAAGGCTCGTGGCCGCGTGTGCCTGCCAGATCCATCGCAAGAGCGTCGCCGTCAGCTGCCCCCCCAGCAGCCCGCCAGAGTCGCGCCTTCCTCGTCTCCCCGCGCTTCCGACTGGGCTGGGATGGTGTGCAGGCGAATCACCGCGCCCGCTCCTGCCAGGCCTCGTCGTGTCTCACAGTGCACAATCCGCCTAGAGATGGCGCTCGCCGCCTGATCGCCTGCTGCTCTGCCTCGATCCGAGGTC